ACATCCAGTGGTTAATGCTGCCATGAATGATAATTCACCCTTCACTAATCTCCATCTATATAATTCTTATGATCCCTTCACCCTCCTCCTATCACCCCCCTTATAACCCCCTATATGCCCCCTATAACCCCCTCCCTATCAACCTCTCCTATCGCCCCCTCTATTGAAGTGGTTTACAGGGTATTGTGCTTCAGGCGGTAGCAAGCAAGCAAGGATCAGGCTTTTAGTATAATGATTTGCTATTTAATCATCTATAATAATTATAAATGATAAAACAACAAGAAAAGAATCAGGGCAACTAAACTAATCAACCACTGAGTCAATTGACTTCAAACATTGCATGTAGGCCGTAGTGGATATGGAATACAACATATCCAAATCAAAAGCGATAATTCCGCCGGGAAGGGGTTAAATTGTGGTGTCAAAGTCAATGAGTTGAGGTGCGATGTTTGATGGGGTAAGCCACCAACCCAACCAGACCCAACTATATATATATATTTTCACCCAGGCAACAGAGCGGTGCAAAGCGGTGCAAGATCAACAAAGTAAATAAAAATAGCAAAACATATAAGAAAACTGAAAGGCTTCATCCTGGAGTGATTTTAACCACAGAAAAACAAACATTCACACCAGATCAGATCTGTCAAGTTTCACACAAAGACACTGAATGAAGGAAATATATATATATTCAATGCACAAGACAGACCCAACATCGACATGGAACATCGATTATTTATCCACTGTGAATCATACCTCATTATCATATGCCGCCGGTGCAAGCACGCTGTGTGGCCAACAGAGATTGAACGGCATCTGAAAGGCAAGGCCCATCAGCTAAAGCATGCGGTGGTTCAGCAGATAAAGGAGAACATTGAACAGTGGGACAATGTGGCTCGAGATACTACACAGTTAACACTGCCCACATACTACACAGTTAACACTGCCCACAATACTGAATGAACCAATCCCGGAACTACCCATTCAAGATGGCTACAGGTGCCAGCGGGATCCCCAGTGTCAGTATGTGGCAGGGAACATGAACACCATGCGCAAGCACTGGCAGAACAAGCACAGCTGGTCGCCATATCCCAGAGGGAGCCGACCAGCGACACTCCATCAGCCCAGACCCCATGGATGAGCAGATGACTGAGGAAGAAGAAGAGGAGGAGGAGAAGGGACAGAGAGATACCCAGCCAGAAGAAGAAGATAAGTTCAAATCAACCAAGATCCAGATGGCATGTTTGGATTTTTGAATTGAGCTGCTGAACCAGCGGGTTCAGGTGGAGGATTATGAGTGCGCGCTGGTAGACGCGTTGGCGGTGCTGGGACGGGGGGAGTATGGATGGTGCGACGCGAAGAGCTACCCACCAATATTGTCACGGATCAAGAAGAAGCATCAAGCTCTCAAAGATCAACCAAGATCCAGATGGCATGTTTGGATCCTCTCTCCTTTGCTCCTGGACCAGCGGGTT